AAGACATGTTTTCTGATCCTTTAATCATTCTTGTGGCTCTTTTCTGAACCTTCTCCAATTTATCAACATCCATCTTGAATTGTGGACATCAGAACTGGACTCAGTTCTCCAGCAGCAGTTGCACCAGTTCCAAGCAGAGAGGTGAAACAACCTCTAATTCTACTCCAGATTGAGGGGCAACAAGAATTTTCAGTTAGACACCTTTTCTTCCCCTGAATATTTAACAAACAAAACAGGAGGGGCATGGGCTTGAGTTGAATGTGGTGATACAGATTTCTGGTAGTGCGTCAAGTGTTTCTCATTGTGCAGGTAGGCCTCAAACTGCGAGTACGATGTTTCTTTTTCTGGGAGCACTGTATGGTTCTTTTTCAGTGGAGAGAGCATCCCACATTTGGGTAACCTTCTCCACAAAATATGTTGGCAGATCTTCACAGCATGTGATACTGCCTTTTGGGGGTAGTGAGAAGGCAAACCAAACTGATGAAGTAATTAGCCTTCCTGAAAAGTTCGGCAGGTTACTTAGCGATTTCAATAACCAATGAGATATATGATCTTTTTCTTTCAATCACGGCTGTTGAATAACAGCGTGGTGAGCCATAAATGTCTTTTGGCACAGTATGCACCCCAAGGGAGAACAGGTGCTTAGCAGGGACACAGCATGGCTGAAAGCAGAGTACCACAAACAATCCAAAAGCTCTGCTTTCCTCTTCACTTGGGAAAATAACCATTGCCCTTGTCTCATGACAGAGCTGTTCAGATTAAATTCATTATTCTCAAAGTATTTTGGACTTTATTTTCAGCACAGTACTTACGTCAGGGCCATTGCACAAATCTTAACAAAAGCATTGCGCTTATCTACCTTCAAAAAAACCTACATTAAAAGAACTCTAAGATTGCAAAGTGAAGCACCCAAAAGTTAGGAAATGCTGGGATTAAAGTTGTCTGTGCAACCTTAATTCAGCCCTCTTGTGCATATGCATCATGACAGTCTAATTACATGATCACATACCATTTTTTTTTCTACCAGACATCTGGCTTCATTCAATGCACAGAATAGGCAGTATTCCTTTGATGGATAACTATTGAATATTCCATTTGATGCTCCTCATTCAATGTGTGGTCCCTGTGCATTATTTATTGAACCACAACCAAACTCAGTGCTTGAATACAGAATTATTACTTTCCTCATGAGCTTTTCACTGATCCTGTCATGGTAGTTTACAAACATTATTCAATATATCTTCACAACACCACTGTGAGAACAGGTGGTATTACTGTGCCCATTTTACAGATGAGGAACAGAAACGAAGGCCCAGAAAAATCACCCATCTAATGTTAGGCAACCAGAAAATGAGGAACACCCAATTCACAGCCAGCTGTGAACATTTTGGTTTAAGTGCCTGGTCCAACCTCACACAGAAACTGTGTGGCAGAGGCAGAAATAGATTTCAGTTCTTCAGGGCAGCATTCAACTCCCTTAACCATGAGACTATCCTTTCTCTCCCTGCATCCTCTGGATCATTCATGACACACCTTCCAACTATTGCAACAAATAAGGCAGAGGTCCTACCGACAACAGCCTTCTTCACTACACAACCCTGATTTATATCCAGAGCACATCCATCTTGTGCATTGAATGAGGCAAGGGGTCCTGTGGAAGAAACAACATGTGACCAAGCAATTAAAGAGTGTATCATCATAATGCATATGCAAAAGGGGACCAAATTAAGGTTACAAAAGCATCCTTGATTATGGCCTTTTGAGTGCTTGATGATGCAAGCTTAACATTCTTTTAACATAGGAAAGTACATCCCAAACTAAGTTTTTTAAAGCTTAAAAAGTTTTAAAGCTTCAAAATTGGGGGTGGGGGACACCACCAAATATTTAACTCTGTGGAAACATATTGTCCCCCACATGGATCATCAGCAGGGTTGGGATCTTTAAATCCACAGCACGGTCCTCTAACCCTTGAGTTAATAAAGCAACTGATAGCATTAGAAGGCTATCATCTTTTATGTAGACCTGCCACTAGAGGGGGATGGAGGAATACACATTGCCAGGACCACTGAATTATGTGCACTCCAGTCCTGGACACCGGTGACCCTTTGTGACAGAATGAATATGTCTGTAAATAAAATAATATTTAATAGCCAAAGAGCTTGAGGGGGTGTGATTCAGATTTAGAAAAAACTCCATCAAACCAGGTGAAATTACCCTACTCAATGAACAAGTGAACAAACCATTTTATTTCTGAGGCAGGCTAGTCTCTGAAATACAACCTCAGGGGTGTGTTGTTAATCTTTCAAAAGGTAGCTATTAAAGGTTTTGTATCCCCAGTGGGCCATCTCTTAGGCCTTGACTAGACAAACCCAGAGAAAAAGCAGCAATCCCCTTACCTTACCCCACTTCATTGTACATGTAGGTAATTCAGAAAAATTGTTTGCAGAGTGGAGGTGGTTGGTCTTGAGTAAGATGGGAAGCCTGGCTGGACACAAAGCTGCGGCAGGGTGTGGTGAGATCTCTGAATGCATGAAAGACAGCTGAGATTCACTTGCTCTCAGAACAGGATGGGGTTGGAACTGCAGTCAGACACAGATTGCTCTTTGGAATACTTAAGGATTGTGTTTTCCCTCGGTAACTTTCAGTGAGAATGCCTGGCCTGGTTTAGCTTATGCAAACTATAAATCTAGGTATGTTATGCAAGGCATTTTTAACTCCATTTTTTTGTTTTAAAATAATATTGTTCTTACTAAACAATCTGCTGTTGTGTGTGGAGAAGGTTCACCCTAAAACCCTCAAAAGAGGGGTTCCAGATGGCAAAGAGGTCCTGGAACTTAAACCCCAACACTCAGACAATCAGACAGGGGCAAAGGCCTCCATTCCTAGTGAAGCGTGTTGCAAACAGCTGTGGCAGACAAACAAGTGGGCTGATGCCAACCGGACCGAGGAAGCGACAAGAGTTGGCAGTGACTGTGCTGGCTCTAGAGACCTATCTTGCAGGGTCTTTCATCACACACAAATACAATGGAATCTATTTATTGTGAAGCCCCCCTCTTCCCTCCCCCCCCCCACCAATTTCACTCTAATCAGAGGGATGTAGACACAAAATACGAAATCAGAATGTGTGGCACTTTTATTATCTAAATAAAATTCTACTCAAATGCTGTCTTCACAGTAACACAAAAAGTCATAAACTTAACCAAATGTTCACTCATTGCTCCCTGAACATTTTCTGGGTTAGAGGATACTCAAGGAGAAATGTGTGACAGCCTCAGAACAAGGGGGGTTGGGTGCTGAGGAGGGGGAAAGAGATTAAACTGGAACTGTTTCCTGCAGAGGTAGCACGCACAGCTCAGAGGTCTCTTCTGAACAATTAACAAGGAGCAGCACCGGAGGAGCAGCTGACTATACCACATTTCTCAGGTAAAACACCACCTGCCATGAATAATGCACTAGGTAGTGCTATGTCAGAATGGCAACTACAGTGCTGAACTGTTCAGTGCATCCAGGAGGCAAGGGAGCTATGCCTAATACAGCCTAGTGCATGAGCGACATCTAGAAAGTAACATGAAGGAGGATGTGCCTTTTGAAGTTCTTGGGAGATTCCACAGGAGGAAGGACTCTCTGTGCCTGACCAGGGACTTGAACCCTAGACCCTCAGATTAAAAGTCTGATGCTCTACCAACTGAGCTAGCCATCTAGAAAGTACACACCTGCCAGGTGGCTAAATGAATCATAGAATCATAGAATAACAGAGTTGGAAGGAAACTCTGGAGGCCATCTAGTCCAACCCCCTGCCCAGAGCAGGACCAATCCCAACTAAATCATCCCAGCCAGGGCTTTGTCAAGCCTGACCTTAAGAACTTCTAAGGAAGGGGATTCCACCACCTCCCTAGGTAACGCATTCCAGTGTTTCACCACCCTCCTAGTGAAAAAAGTTTTTCCAAATATCCAACCTAAATCTCCCCCACTGCAACTTGAGACCATTACTCCTTGTCCTGTCATCTGCTACAAATGGAATAGTTACATTCAGGTAAACACACCTGTTCTGTGCTGGATGTTTCAGACACACCTAGACGTTCTGTGTGGATGAAACATCAACAAAAAGCAGCAGCCCGGTGGTGAACAATCAGCAAGGCCACTGAAGGCTTGAAAAATTATTTCAGTCCCATCCTCCTGTTCCAGAGGGTGTTGGCTACACTATAGGATCTTGGCAGGGTAAAGTGGGGAGAAAGAAGGTGGGAATCTTGGGTTCCATCTTTAAAAGGAGAAAATATAACAGGGAATAAGAGCATAGGTGCTGAGTTTTTCTTTTTCCGAGGGGTGCTCCAGCCCCGGATTCTGCCATGAGATATACGTCCCATGAGTTACATTCATAAAAAGGAGGATAGATTTTGTTTTGTTGGCCATTATAAAAGAGGCATTTTAATAGGAAATTGCAGCACACTTAGAAAAGCTATTTTAGTGTGTATACAATGAAAATGTGTGTGTGTTAGTGTTAGAGAGAGACACACAGAGAGACTACCCAAATCTGCTAGAAGTGAGATGTAACATACTATTTTGTACCATTTTATGTGTGCTGACCCATGTCAGTTTTGACACGATAATAAGCTGTTTTTAGCTATAAATTTATGTCTTCCCATTATCCCCTCTTCTCTCCTCCTCGCTTGACTATTCTTGGCAAGAAAAACATACTTCAGCTTCCAATTCTGGCCATCATATTCACATTACAAAAATAATTAACCAGTCGTTTTCCTTTATCCACTCACCGTCCTTCTCAAACCGGCAAAAGGGAAGTTTTATAAAATCAATACACTTCCTATAAACATTAATCATAAATGTGAAGTACCAAAAAGGAGTTGTGCAAAAAGTTGTCCAGCTTTATAAGGGGTGTGTGGGGGGAACATCATAAGAACATAAGAAAATAGAAGAGAGAAAATAGATGGGAATAATATGGAACAAGAGAGACAGAGATCCACAGCAATCCAAACTAGACTCACAGTCCATCTCGCAGCTCTTGCGTATCATTCGATGTCCCAAGGGATCTAAGGGTTCTTTCCAAGGAAGTCACTGTCAACACAAAAAGAAAGAAAAGAGAAAGAAATTACACCACATTTCAGACAAAAGTATTTATATTTTTAAATGGGGTTTCTTTCAAACCCTTTCGCTAATAACTAACATATGGATAAATAAAAAATCAGAACACAGCAAGAGCTGAAGGTCCAACAATACTAACTCCAGGAGAGGAAATTAATAATGTGGAATAATCCTTTTGCATCTTGAGGGTGTATTATACACATTTGTTATATTTATAGACCATAACTGTACAAAGAGATTTACAACAATTCAGATAAACCAAAGAAAATCTCTGCCCCATAGACCTTACAATTGAACAACACAAGCCCAAGAGTGCCCTTTGGTCATTTTCTGTGGTACATTTTCTAAAAAGATTCAGAGGAGGTACAGAAGAATGCTTGGTTTAAATTAATGATCTAAGGATAAGGAGTGGCATGAAAGGAGAAAAATATGTAATAGAGGAAGAAGAGGACGGAACAGTCTAGTATAAATGAATTAAAAGGAAGAAGGAGGCCATGCAGGAGATAAAGCTGGAACAGAGTTCGGGAGCATATGGAAAGCAAGGCTAATCTAAATTTTATGTGGATAATGAAGAGCCAGTGGAGACAGTCAAGCAAAGAGATATGGTGAGAGAGTAGCAGGAAAGGAAAATGACCTTTAAGGTAACCTTAAATGAGCTCTACTCCACACTCCAGAAGAATAAGGTCACTGTCAATATGTCCTGTGACCCCCTCAAGTTCACTGTCAATATGTCCCGTGGGAAAATTAGGCCGTGTCTCCCAAATACGGCATTCGGTTCAACTCCAAGCATGTCTGACCACTGTTAAACATCTACCCCAACTGTACAGCCTGAAAGACTGTTGGTGTCCAAGTAAATGTACTTTTCACCCTGAATTCTAGATGCAGATTTGAAATCCTAAAGTAAGACACCCCACAAAGGACACATGGGCTGCAGAGTCAATTGGCTGCTACATTAAAGAGTCTACATTATTTTTAATATTTAAGAACAAAAAGGTAAATCTCACATTCATGGTATTATCAGATTACTCCAGTGGATCCCAGAGCATAAGAACATAAGAATGGCCATACTGGGTCAGACCAAAGGTCCATCCAGCCCAGTCCTGTCTGCCAACAGCAGCCAATGCCAGGTGCCCCAGAGGGAGTGAACCTAACAGGCAATGATCAAGTGACTTCTCTCCTGACATCCATCTCCACCCTCTGACAAACAGAGGCTAGGGACACCATTCCTTACCCATCCAGGCTAATAACCATGAATGGACTTAACCTCCATGAATTTATCCAGTTCTCTTTTAAACCCTGTTATAGTCCGAGCCTTCACAACCTCCTCAGGCAAAGAGTTCCACGGGTTGACTGTGCGCTGAGTGAAGAACTTCCTTTTATTTGTTTTAAACTTGCTGCCCATTAAGTTCATTTGGTGGCCCCTAGTTCTTATATTATGGGAACAAGTAAATAACTTTTCCTTATTCACTTTCTCCACACCACTCATGATTTTATAGACCTCTATCATGTCCCATCCTTAGTCTCCTCTTTTCCAAGCTGAAAAGTCCAAGCCTCTTATTCCCTCCTCATATGGGACCCATTCCAAACCCCTAATCATTTTAGTTGCCCTTTTCTGAACCTTTTCTAATGCCAGTATATCTTTTTTGAGATGAGGGGACCACATCTGTACACAGTATTCAAGATGTGGGCCTACCATGGATTTATATAAAGGCAATACGATATTCTCTGTCTTATTCTCTATCCCTTTTTTAATGATTCCTAACATCCTGTTTGCTTTTTAGACTGACGCTGCACACTGTGTGGACGTCTTCAGAGAACTATTCACGATGACTCCAAGATCTCTTTCCTGATTAGTTGTAGCTAACCTAGCCCCATTATATTATATGTATAGTTGAGGTTATTTTTCCCAATGGGCATTACTTTACATTTATTCACATTAAATTTCATTTGCCATTTTGTTGCCCAGTCACTTAGTTTTGTGAGATCTTTTTGAAGTTCTTCACAGTCTGCTTTGGTCTTAACTATCTTGAGCAGTTTAGTATCATCTACAAACTTTGCCACCTCACTGTTTACCCCTTTCTCCAGATCATTTATGAATAAGTTGAACAGGATTGGTCCTAGGACTGACCCTTGGGGAACACCACTAGTTTCCCCTCTCCATTCTGAAAATTTACCATTTATTCCTTCCCTTTGTTCCCTGTCTTTTAACCAGTTCTCAATCCATGAAAGGATCTTCCCTCCTATACCAATACAACTTAATTTATGTAAGAGCCTTTGGTGAGGGACCTTTGGTGAGCAGCACTGAGGTAGTGTAAAAATGGAACAGCCTGCAGCCACCTTCTTCTTTAACCCAGTGATATAGCCTCTGGATTCCACAGCTCCCACATGCAACTGTACATCTTCATCTGAGCAGCCTTCCATTGAGCGAAAGAGCGATAACTGCTTGCTGGGATCCCGAGTCTCTGCAAACCTCACACCCTTGTATTAGTGACTAGGGTGGCTGCAACTGCATGTTGATCTCCATGGGTCACGCTTTGTCCATCCTTATACGACAGACATTCATTTTTCCCCACTCCCAGACGGTGTGCGTTCATTCTTGTCAATCCGCACCTTGTTAGGAACACCGAAACTGCTCTACCAGAACAGATCAAAAAATCAATTAGCCCCAAATCCTGTCACCAACACTGGCCAATGCCAAATGCTTCAGAAGAAGGCGTAAATCCCCGGTAATTACCTCACCGAGGATTTTGTTTGTGGTCGGTGTGCCTTAGTATGCAACTCCCGAGGAGCTAAGAAACAACATACATTGCCGCTTTCCACTCACCCGTGCTCTCGTTCATCTCCTCCCCCGAGTCTCATTCCATCCCATTCTGTTCCAAAGAAGAGGCTGGTCACAAGCCGTGAATGTGAGGAGGCATCACGCGCCAAGCCAATGATTCATCCAAATGCTGAGGTTTTTATTCAGGCAAAAATCCCCCCCCCCCCCCCCCGTAATAGGAAACCATTGTGCCTGAGCCCAAATCCGGCCCAGGGCTCCGCTCCCTCCCCTGTCCCATCAGTGGTTTCTCCTTGAGCTGGCATAAGCCATAAAAAACCATCATGGCAGTTAAACTGCCACTCCACAAACACTCTGTGCTCCCCTCCCTTCCGGTGTGCACGAAGGGCCCACGTACAGAATGCAATGCAGGCCAAGGCCGATTTGCAGACAGTGTGCTGTTCTGGTCACCCCATATCCCCCTAATCATTTTTGTTGCCCTTCTCTGTACCTTTTCCAATTCTCCATTGGAAATGTACAGAGAACGGAAAAAAAAAAAAGAGTAGGGGTCTGGAACAGCTTCCATATGAGGAGAGATTAAAAAGACGGAGACCGTTCAGCTTGGAAAAGAGACAACTGAGGGAGGATATGATAGAGGTCTATAAATCATGATTGGTGTGGAGACCGTAAATAAGGAAGTGTTATTTATCCCATCACATAATAGGCAGCAGGTTTAAAACAAACAAAAGGAAGTTCTTCTTCACACAACGCACAGTCAACCTGTGGAGCTAATTGTCAGGGGATGCTGCGAAGGCCAGAACTATAACTGGCTTCAAAAAAGAATTAGATCGTTTCATAGAGGATAAATACATCAATAGCCGTTAGCCAAAATGGTCAGGGATGAAAGCCCGTGCTCGGGGTGTCCCTAGCCTCTGTTTCCCAGAAGCTGGGAGTGGGTGATAGGGAATGGATCACTTGATTCTGTTCTGTTCATTCGCTTTGAAGCGCCTGGCATTGACCACTGTCAGAAGACAGGATACTGGGCTAGATGGACCATTGGTCTGAACCAGTATCGCCATTCTTATGTTTATGAGGGATGCAGAGGCACCAAAGCAGGACTGGCCTGGAGCAATGGGCCTGATCTTACATGTATCTGAGTATCCTTATCTCCCATGGGAATCAAGGCGATCCTGCACCTGGCAGGATCAGGACCTGTAAAAAGCCTTCAATCAGGCCAGAGATCACCGTGAAGTGGCAAATTACAGTAGGCATAACCCTGCAAGTTAAGAGCAGGCTGACCTCCACAATAAGCACCCTGGGCTCTAAGGTAGTTAGCAAGAATAGTTTAAACTCTCATCCAAGGCCTCATCCTCTTGCATCTTGACTGCTGCAACCTCCTCCTTCTGGCCTCGATAAATCCCATCATGCCACACTCATATCCATTCAAAATGCTGTAGCAAAGATCATTTTCCTTGTTCTTTGCTTCAACCATGTCAACAACAAAAAATGCATCACGTTATCACTGGGGCAGGAGGTGGTAAGGTCCTCCCTCATAAGTTATGCCCTGCCCCACTTCATTGTGCAGTTTAGTCTCCCAAGCTGCAGGAACACGTCTTTTGAACTTTGCCCACCCAGAATGTTCTAGATCTTACAGGTACAGTCACCAGAGTTGTAAAAGGCAACTCAGGAGGCTCTTGCTGGGGAGGGGAGACACTGAATGACTTAATTATATTTTAAAAGCTGAGTTCCAGCTTCCATTCTCATCTTCCTGTTTCAGTTCTTCAGGACTTCCTCATACAAATTCCATGTTTTGTCTCAGCCGAAGGGAGTGATTTTTTTTTTAACTTTGAGCCAAAGAGGTGCTTTTGAATTTTGCAACTGGGAAAAACAAACAAAAAAAGGCTACCTTTTCCATACGTTCCCATTGGAATGGCTGCAGCTAGAAACTTGACTTGTGTCGCACTCCACAACGACTTAAGATTTATGAAAATCAGTCCAGCAGATTTTTAAAGCTAACAGTGAGATTCTTGTAAATCAACAACACAAGTTGGCTTTTATTACTTATGTTATTTAATCTATGCCACAAAATATACAAGATACAGAAAAGTGACTACGTTAAATCCAGAAGAAAACATTTTTTTGAATGTTTGACGTCTGAACCTCAATGTTGAATCAACAGTAGATTTCTTTATTTTTCCTTCTTGCATTTAACATATCA